ACTTCAATATGTCTTGTTTGTGAAGACTTCAGATGAAGTTAAATCTAAGTCAGGTATAGCTGCATACAGAGATAGTTTGGGGAGATTAAATTATTTTTTATGTGGTCATGGACTCCTTTGCAAGAAAAACTGGACCTTACATGGACAGGTCAGTTGGTGAAAGCAAGAATTAGGTGAGCCAGAAAGACTGTGGCAACTGGTAACAGGGAAAGGCAGCAACAGGGATCCCAAGAGTCTCCCCCTGCCCTCCCTTCTCTGCCACTGAACAATTCCTTTTGCAACTTGCAGCCCCTGCAGCTTCTCCTGCATTGCACAGCACCCCTTTCCTGGCTCGCTAGCAGTAGCCCTGCGTGCTGGAGCGCAGCTTCCTCCCGCGCTGCCCTCGCAGGCTGCTGAGCAGACACTTGTTCTATTCTGGCAGCATAAGGCTTTACTCCCTCCTTCCCTCTCTGCATTTTTTTCTCCTTGTTTCCTTCCACGATTCAGATCCGTTGTGTTCAGATCCATCTGGAAGCGCTTTCCAGGCCCACACCACGTCACAGTGCCATGGAGCAAGGAGCACTGACGCCGAGTCGCTGCCCTGCACATGCCCCTCATACGTCCAGACAGGGGGTTTGGTGCTTCTCTGCTCCGAGCAAAACGTTACTGCACAGTCTCATAGCTCTGGCTATGACTTGAAGATAGATTTTCTGTTGTAAGACTCAGTTCAGATTCACTCTGTCCTGAGGCAGGTCTTTTGCTTCCAGTTATCCACAGAGATTGAAGACAGTATCTAAAATCATCATCAGGTCTGGACTGAGATTCACAGCATTAGTATGGGATTTTCCCCAAGGTTTTTGGTCTCCTCACTGAAGGAGATGCCAGTTTGGTACTGTAAGCTGCAGAAGCAGCAGCAACGCTAGAGCTATCTGTTTGCCAGGGACGAGGGGGTCTTTCTCTCTCAATACCATCAATTTCTTTTCTCTGACTAACTCATGTTGAGTAAAATTACAATTCAAGGCATTTCTTGTGAAGCAAATTGAAGTTTTTCCCCAGAAAAAGTGTGGCAGACTTGCATGAATAGTAATCCTCTAACCAGTAAGAAAGTGGAGTACAAGGAGATGACTTCATATCCTAGTATTAGTGACTTCAGTGTACGAGTCAAGAATCATTATTAACAAGTGAAACTGCTTCTTGCTTTATATTCCTGCAGGTCATAAAGCCAAATAGAAATAAAGAGAGACACAGGCACAGAAATGCAGTCATTCCTTTCTCACGTTAAAAAAATGCACCTAGGTAGAAGAGAAATGTGATACAGTTTACTGGGGGAAAAAAAAAGAGAAAAAAGAAAATATTTTTAGTTGGAATACTTAATTGTTTGAGGATTTGAGGATTTTGAGGAAGTTTTAATAATTAGACGCAGGAAAAACAGTATATATTTGATATATTGGAGTATTCCTTTGCTTTAGCCATGTCACATTACATCAAAGCACATAATATGAGAAAGAACATGAGAAAGAAAGAAATCTCTGTGAGTTTATATTTTCTTATTTGAGGAACTCTAAAGCCTAGCAAAGTTAATATGAAAATGAACAGGATTTCTTTATGATAAAGCTTAATGACTACTATGTGTTCAAACCCTCACATATGAAAGATTCTTTGGATTATGGTGCACTGCATGGCTAATAAATTATCACTACTTGTTACACAGCGTCCTGAAGCTATGAGGGGCCATAAATAGTGGGGGAAGAAGGGTCAGTTTTTAGGGCTGTGTCTTAGACGCATAAGAAAACTTATTTCTGTATGCAGGAGAAATAACAGACACAGCAATAATGCTCTAAATAAATTGTATGAAAGAGAACTCTTTTTTTAATGTTGAAGTACAAGATGATCTTAATTTTTAAACGTAAAGTAGGAGCATAGTTGCTAAAATAGCCAAGATGTGTGAGAAACGTGTGGAAAACATGTCTGAAGTAAAAATAAACGAAAGAATGTTCATTTTAAATCAAAACAATCAGAGCTATTTTTCGTCATAACCAAAGCATAGCAGAGTATCATCCAGCAATCCGTTTTTCCTCCGATTCTTTGCTCTTGTTTCTCTGAGAAATGCATTATTTGTGTGCAGTGGAAACATCCAACCACATAACTTAAGTTTCTCCTGCATTTTTCTAGTTCCTTTACTGCATATAACCCATCTAGATTGTTTGATTGACCTGGAAAGCACCATACACTGTAGCTTTGGCACCTAAAATAAACAGTATTTGCTAAAAGAAAGGGAAGAGGGAGTCTGCCTGCCCTGCCTTGGGCTTTTTGGTGCAAGAGTTTATATTCCTCCCTCTGTGTTTTTTCTCTTTCTTATATGAAATGAACAGCTGTAATTGAAAAGCAAGAAGCTCCATGGTTTATAGAAATAGGTGTTGTTAAGAGCCTTAGCCATCTAATTTTCTTGCTATTGCAGGGCAGGCTTCCTATTGTCTGTGCTTTAGAGCTAATTTCTTTTCTGATCAAAAGGCCCACATCGTTGAAAAGGTAGTAATGACTATTCATTTGGTTGAAACCCTCATTCTGCAGCCGGCAAAGCTTTATTTAGCAACTGCTATTTCTTTCTAAAAGGAAAACCTCATTTGTGTCCTCTATAATGCCAATTAAAGTAGAATATATTTTAATCATTTGTCCTGGAGAGAAACCTTTCACGATCTCCATTTGCTGTGCCAATGATACAGGCTGTTGCATGCAACAATATGTGCCTTTAAAATTGTAGGTCCAAGAGTGGGACCAAGGTATGTTTTGAGTTTAATTTGTCGCTAATTAATAGTTTATTTGCAGCTCATTAGAAAGTTAGACTTGCACAGTTAATGTCTGACATACTTCATTAAAAGAGGAAGCCTCATCTGCCAGCGAACAAGGTGCTTTGCAGGACTGTGCAGAAAATACTCGGGAAGGATTCACCAAGTTTTAGGAGCGGGAGCACACGAGGGTTCGCGACACTTTGCGCGTTTCCGCGCGTGTTTTCGGCAGAGGGGCTGAGCAAGGAGCGGGCCCGGGGTCCCGCGCGCGGCCCTGTCCCCTCGCGCGGCGCCCGTTCCCGCGGCTGCCCCGTTAGTTGGGAACGCGCCGCCGGGGGGTCCTCGGGCAGCGTCTGCTCCGCAGCAGCCCCGGAGGAGCCGTTTGTGGCGGGCTCATAACCGAGAGCACCTGCGTGAGCGGAGCCCGGAGCGCCCGAGAGGCGCCGGAGCCGCCCAGGGTTCTTGTGGCGCTGGAAATGCGCTGCGCTCAGCGAGGACGCGGGAAAATTCAGCTGGGACCAGGGGGAAGGCGACGAGAACGAGCGGCCGCCGCGGGACTCCGCTCGGAGGAGCCGCTCCGACCCCGAACGGCGCTGCCCGTTTTCACCCGCGCGCTGCGTGTTTTCCTTGTTGTTTAATCGTTGCGGTTTTCACGATGTCACGAGAAGCGCCCTGGGGTCCCCGCGCGTGCGAGACAAGCGCGGCGGGCCCTTGCGGAGCGGAGGAGCCGTTTCCGCAGACCCCCGCCCGCGTGGAGCCTCCCGAGGCCGCAGATCCCGCCGGGATGGGGCGTTCGGCGGCCGCGGAGCGGAGCCGCGCGGCAGCGGGAAGGTCCGCGCGCTGCGGGAGTGCGGGACACGGGGCAGCCTTGGCCTCGGGACAGCCCCTGGGTGAAGCGCGGGCTCGCAGGAGCCCCCGCGTTTTGGAAATGTCCTTGAGCGCGTGTGGCATCGGCGGCAGCCGCGAGATCTGCGGGAATGCGGGCACCTGCACTTACCTTTCAGTGCTCCTCAGCCAGGGTTACACTGAGATGCAATAGTACTAGGGCGGTCTAAAGAGAAGGGCTCTGGCTTTGAAATAGTACCTGTCTTGAGATGTAAAATCGAGCGTGCCCCTTGGAAAAAAAAATAGTTTAAATGAAGATAAATGGAAAGATAAGAAAAAGGAACCTGCAAGGTAGGAGTTGTAGCGTTTATTTGGACCGTTTGGATTTCGAAAGGAAAGCCATTCGCGGGGCTCTCAGCACCCGGTCTTAACTCCGCTCGCCACGCCGTTTTTCGTTGCGCGGCCAGGCATGTTTCGTTTCCTGGGATCAGGATGTGTTTCAGGGAAGAGTCAAAACAAGAAGCGGAGAATCCGCGCTGCAGCCAAGCGCAGCCCGGCGCCGCGCAGACCCCGACGAGCCGCAGGATGGGGCCGGACCCCCCCGCCGCGCCCCGGCACCTAAACGAACCGAACCGAGGCGGGTCGCGCGCGGCGTTTGTTTTCCCTTCGCCTCTGTTCAACAGATGATTTTGTCAAGTCGGGACAACAAAATCCGTGCAGAACGAGCGCTTCTAAAGCGGTAAATCCGCGGATTTACCGGCGGAGCCCCGCGGCTGTACGCGCCGCCACGGCGGGACGGGAGCCCCTCTGCTGCTGCAGGGCCGCGCGTCGCTGCCGCCGCCAGCCCGAGCGCGGGACGCCCGCCCGGCCGGGGAGCTGCCCCCGCGGGGGAGGAGGAAGACGAGGAGGAGGAGGAGCGGGGCGGCTGTCTCCGCGGCGCCTCAGGACAACGAGGCCGAGCGCGCTCCGGAGCCGCCCCGCAGGTGCGCGCGCCCGGCTGCGGGGAGGGCCCGTGAGCAGCAGCCCCGGGAGCCTCCCCCACCAAAGTTCCCGCTCCCGCCGAGGAGACCTGGCCGTTGCCATGAAAACGGCGGCGCTTTGGGCAGCGCTCGTCCTGCTGCTGGGGCCGCCGAGGGGAGGGGATCCTGGCCGGGGGGGGGGCTCGCCCCGCGCAGGCAGCGGCCGCCCCGGAGCGGCAACTTCTGTGCGCGCCCCTTCCCGCGGGGCGGGGCCGCGGCCGGGAGGCGCGCGCTGATTGGCCGCCGCGCGGTCATTTATAGCCCGTCAATCACGGGCGGCGCGCGGAGTGTGTTTTGTTGGCTGCGCCCGCGGCAGCTCCGCGCCCCGCGGGAGAGCGCCGCCCGTCCCGCGCCTTATTTTTTTTTTATTATTTATTTATTTTTTCTTTCTACTCTGCTGTCTCCTGAGCGGCCGCAGCCCGCGCGCCGCCCTGGCGCAGCTCCTGCCCTCCCCGGCCATGTACAGCATGCTGGAGAGCGACATGAAGGCGTCGCAGCCCGCGCCGGGCGCCACCGGCGGGACCGCCGCGCCCGGCAGCAACGGCAAAGGCGGCGGCGGCGGCGGGGCCAGTGGCGGCAGCTCGGAGCAGGACCGTGTCAAGCGGCCCATGAACGCCTTCATGGTGTGGTCGCGCGGCCAGCGGCGCAAGATGGCCCAGGAGAACCCCAAAATGCACAACTCGGAGATCAGCAAGCGCCTCGGCGCGGACTGGAAGCTGTTGAGTGACGCCGAGAAGCGGCCTTTCATCGACGAGGCCAAGCGGCTGCGGGCCGTGCACATGAAGGAGTATCCGGATTACAAATACCGGCCCCGTCGGAAGACCAAGACCTTGCTGAAGAAGGACAAGTACTCGCTGCCCGGCAACCTGCTGGCGCCCGGCGGGGCCAGCGCGGTGAGCAGCCCCGTCGGCGTGGGCCAGAGGATTGACACTTACGCCCACATGAACGGCTGGACCAACGGCGCTTACTCGCTGATGCAGGAGCCGCTGGGCTACGGGCAGCACGCGGCCGTGGGCAGCCCGCAGCTGCAGCAGATGCACCGCTACGACATGGGCGGCCTGCAGTACAGCCCCATGATGTCCTCGGCGCAGAGCTACATGAGCGCCGCCTCCACCTACAGCATGTCCCCGGCCTACGGGCAGCAGCCCGCGGCGCCCGTGGGCCTGGGGTCCGTCGTGAAGTCGGAGCCCAGCTCGCCGCCGCCCGCCCTCACGTCGCACTCGCAGAGGGCCTGCCTGGGCGACCTGCGGGACATGATCAGCATGTACCTGCCCCCGGGGGGCGACGCCACAGACCCTGGCGCCCTGCAGGGCAGCCGCTTGCACAGCGTGCACCAGCACTACCAGAGCGCGGGCGCCGCCGTCAACGGCACCGTGCCGCTAACGCACATCTAGCGCTGCCGGCCGCGGGACGCCCCGGCCTCGGCACTGACTGAAGAAGCCCGCAAGGGGAGCCCGCTGCGCGCCCCTTCTGTGCGGGAGGGAGAGCACGCACCCGCGCAAGCTGCGCGCCGCCGCAGCGCAACTCCCGCCGCCGAGCAGCCTCCGCTGCGGCGCTCCGCAGCCTCGGCCGCTCCCCCCCGGGTTGCGCAGGGTTTGACAACGCGAAACTAAAGTTTTGCAGCGGGCTCGCCCCTTTCCGTTTGGGTTTTAGCGTTGCAATGAAAACGACGGGCTTTTATTTTTAAACTCGGTTGTTCAGTTGTTTACGTTTTCGTTGTGGTTTCTTAAAAAATGTTGTCTTCTTCCCGCCCTATTGAGTCCCGTTTGGTTTCTATCCCAAACCTGTAGTTTTCACGGTTTTTTAAATTTAGGGATTTGTACCTGGGAAAAGAAAGCGGGGGGAGGAGGGAAGAGAACTGTGCGGGTCGCAAACGCATTTCTTTTATTTATAGTAAGTTGTGTGTTTGGGTTTGCTTTTTTTTTTTTTTCTTAAGCTGTAAACTTATGTAAATTGGTTTGTGAATTTTACTGTGAATCATGTTTTGACATATCAGATGAAGAAGCGTTTTAGTTTGTTTACTGGATTTCTTCCAACAATAACAACAACAACGAAAAGGTGAAGTTATCGAGTCACCCTTCTTGCTTGCCTCTTCCTTGGTCTCTTTCTGCTCCGAAACGAAGAGCCATCAGTAAAGGCTGTGCGCGGCACCGGGAGTGTTCGCAGGCTTCCCGAAGGGTTCGCGCCGCGGCGGGGGAAACTCAGCCCCTCGGATCGCCCTTGGCTGCTGCGCCGGGGCCGCCGCTCCCGGCACTTGTTGCTTCTGCGCTTGGCCCGGGCACCGAGCGCCTCGGGGATATTCCCGGGGGCAAAACTGTTGGGGAGCTTGTGAGGAGACCCCCCCTCAAAAACGAAGGATTCGGGGCGTCGTCCAAGGAAATAAAACAATTCCCTCCTGCCGCTGTGTTTGATGAGTGCTTTGGTGAGACACCACTTCGGTGTGGCGGGGGCTGCTCTGCGGCACAGCGCTTGCCCATGGTACCCCCGCGCTCCGCTGCAACCCTTGGGGTGAAAATTCTCCTTTCCTGACATTTCCCCCAAAATCTGCTCCTTGCTCTGTGCTGGCCCAGTGGGGCTGCGGGATGGGAAGCAGCTCCGCGATGTCTCTGTAGCCGGTCACAGCATAAGCCCCTCAGCGTCAACACTTCCTTTGCTTCAGGCAAACTTTTCACTGTCATGAGATAGAATATGTGGGAAAGGGAGGCTTGGAGGGGGTTGTTTGGTTGAGTATTTTTGTTTGATTTTGGTTTGTTTGGGGCTCTCTGTCCAGCTGCTGCCTGCTTGGGATGGCCAGGGTCTGCCGTCGGGAGCAATGCGTGGCGCCCCAGCCAGGGCGCCTGAGCTTTCGCGCCCTTGGGAAGCCTGGCCTAGGCTGCGCCATGCTCTGCTGTGGCTCTGCAGCCACAGCAAGAAGAAGCACATGGGTAGGGCAGGGCGCGGAGAGCCCCACCGCTCCGTGCCGGCACTCCGTGCGCTGAGTGAGCCCGCGCAGGGGCCACGCGCAGGGAGCCCCGGGGCTGCGCTCCCCTCCCGCAGCAGCAGGCCTTGCGACGGGGTCGCTTTGCACTGGCCACGGGTGCAGGTCTGGCATGGTGACCCTCCTGTTTTGTCTGCGGCGCTTATTTCCCGTTTCTGCTGCAACCCTCCAGCCAGGAGTGTTCCTGCTCCTAGCCCTGCAGGATGAGTGGCCCCACGGCTGGAGCACTAGTGCACAGGGAAATGCAGGGCCAGCAGCAGGTCCTGCTTTATCCCTGCTCAGAGCTGGACACTGAGCTCCCCAGTGCTCTCCGGGACAGGCTGTGTCAGGAGAGCTCTGGCAGAGGAAGCAAGAGCCCCTGCTGCCCGAGCAGCTCTTGCTTGCGGCAGGGCGGCCAGCCGTGACAGCAGTGAGGGCTCCCAAGCAGGGGATGGTGCCAGCACAGGGATTACATACGCTTGCTTCAGAGCTGAGCTCCCTGCACTGCTCTGAATAGCTGCTCTTTTCATATGGGTTCTCTGCTGTGAAAGTGCAGAAATGCTGCTCTGCAAGGGCTCGTGCTGTTGGAGCTGAAACTGTTCTCACTGTTCGCTGCGAGTTTGGGCTGGAGGAACGTCCATGAGCAGGTCACTGTGGGCTGACAGAGACACTTGTGCTGAGGGGCTCGTGCTCTCTGGCAGCTTACTGCAGGATTTTGGCTTCTGCGTGCTTTTCCTGACCATTTTCAGATGCCCAAAGTCCTGCACACAGTACTGAGCTCCTGGGGCTCAGTGCTATCTCGAGGTTATCCAGAGGCTTTAGGTGTTGCATGTGGGGAGAGTTCTGTGAAAATGGTGGCAGGCACCTCACACACCACTGCAAGGGGGAGAGACCCATTGCGAGCAGAAAGCAGTGAACCCAGCCTTTTAGAAATACGTAAACTGCCTTGTCTTCCTCAAACACAGACATTTTTCATCAGGGAGCTAGCAGCAAAGCAGGCAAGGACCTGAAGTTTATCCTTTGCTTGGACTCGAAATCTGCCCGGGGAGCACATGTAGAAACACATTTCCTTTAGAAATAGTGAAGATATGTTTTATTTGTGCTGATGTTTATTTTTAAATGTACACTTTATTTGGGGTGCAGCTGTGCAGCCTGTGTGTGTGAAATCTGCATGCCTAGTGAGTGGTGCCTGCGGGAGACTCTGTGCTCCTGTGGGAGAGATGGGGATGGAGCCATCGCAGCCTCGGGGGCAGCAGGGGAAACGGCAAGCAGCTGTGTGCAACATGCTGGCTCTGTGCAGGATGCGCCCTGCCTGCACCTGCACGTGGCTCATTGCAGGACAGGGCCCTAAGTGAAATGCTTACTTAGTACGCATACAAACTCGTAAGCAAACAGCTCAATGAAAAACCCACAGCCTAGCTTGTCAGGCAAGGGCATCCGTTACGCTCAGGAGCACTGGCAGTGGGGTGATTAATAATGTTAGCGTTTAAGTGTATTGACAGTGTTTAGTCTGTTTTCTAGCATCTTGTTGAATGGAGGAGTGGAGGATCACACTTGGTGCTACAGTTAGTCTGTGGAAAACCAGCATCTCGGGTTATGTTGTGGTGGCTCATTCCTTTGCCAGAGAGCTGCAGTTAATTTTGCTTCAGCAAATCCTGGTAAGTGAGAATATTTTAAATTTGGAAGTTTACAGATGGTCTCTCTGGGAAGTAAATGTTAATAACGAGCAGAGGAATCTGGCTGGAGGCATTTCAGAGTATTTTTTATCTTTTTTGTCTTTCTAACAGTTTTGCTATAAGGAGAGATGAATGTTAAATTCAGTAAAAACATACATTTAGGAGACAGATTGAAAGCCTTCATAAATCAGTGTTTTTTCATAGCAAGTATGAGGCAAAGTAAACCTTTGAGGAACTTGTAAAAGATAGGCATACGTCCATTTCCTGATGATAACAGAACTAGTTATTTAGTAGGAAGGAATACAGCTGGAAAAAGGAATTTTTAGTGATGTTCTAGACTGCCATGTTAGCGATTTTAGCAAGGCAAAGCCTGAGAAGTTCAGGATGACTTCTTTTCTGCTCATGCAGAGCTCGATCCTGTACTGTAATCAACTCCGGTTAGTTTCTGTGATGCAGGTTCAGCTTCTCCTTGTGGTAAGTCTGAAGCGAAAAAACATAGAAACTTTAAAGACAAATACATAAAAGCTGAATTCATTTTTTTAAGCCTTCTTAAGTGAGAGTGGAGATTTGTTGCTACAGGAGTGTTTGCATGGGTTAATCGTTGACTAATGCAGAGTAAGTTTCCCAGAATAGCTCCCAATATAATTTTCTCTGGTGCCTTTTTTTCCTTTTTTTTTTTTTTTATGATGCTCCTGTATGCAGTAATAACTGCAATGCAGTGACTTTCATTTCACAACAGAATATGCTCAGGGCAAAGAAAATTACTCTTTGAACAGCATTCCCAACCACTTTCTTCCTACAGGTAGTCAAGCAAACAGGATGTGCGGTTTGACCTGTCCAAAGCACTGCTCAGAAACTCCCTATCCATTTTATACTTTTATTTTTCACATCTCTAAAATGAGACCTACACCTCCTTCTCGTGGCAGGGGAGGTTGGGGGGATTGTCACAGTAAGTCCATAGCGAGATGCATTCATTCCTTGTAATAAGCAAAGTATATATATGACTTCAGGTTAGGCTCATTAAATGTTGTCAGTGTCATTCTTATGATGCTCATCTTTATGAGAAAACTTTTACTGCTGCTAGTCTCATTTAAACTGTGTTTATTTACGCCAGCTTACTTTTATTTGGTAATACATTAGACTAAGCTAAACAAATCTGAGGTGTAATGTGATAAAAATGTCAGTGCTAGTGTAACTGAAGAGACTCTTTCGTGCCCACGTGAGCCAAGCAGGCACTGGGGGTTGACGTGTTAGAGCCTCAGAGCTTTTTGCTCCCTTCCCTTGCTGGAGGTCGCTTCACCTGGGTCAGCGCTGGGCCTGGCGCAGTGCGCGGGCTGCTGGGTGGCTGCTAAGGCCCCTCACGGAGCCCCCGTTGTTGCGTGTGGGAGCCACGTGTAGGGGCTACATGTAGGAGCCATGTGTAGGAGTTACATGTAGGTGCCACCTGTAAGAACCACGTGTAGGAGCCACGTGTAGGAGCCACATGAAGGTGCTATGTGTAGGTGGTACATGTAGGATGCATGTGTAGTTGCTACGTGTAGCAGCTACGCGTAGGAGCCGTGTATTGGTGCTACATGTAGGTGCTCTGTGTAGGAGCCACATGTGTCACAGCCGGGGACCCCAAGGGAGCACAAAGGCAGAGTGGGGAAGGGCCTAGGCATAAGAGGGGAATGAAACAACATTAAAAATGTGGGTCCTTCTGTCATTTATCTCTTCTCAGGCTTCTGATGGTTACCGCTGGCCTCTGTGAGCCTTTTCTTCA